CATCTCTACCGACAACAGTAAGTAATTCCCCTTTGTGTGGTCCTTTGAGAAAAGCTCCATCTAAACCAATGACTCTCCTACATCCAGCAATAAATCCCTTTTTCATTGCACTAAAACACACATACATTCTCAAGAAAATAGGGTTCAGTTCAGGTAGTGGCCTCGGTGCATAAATCGAAACAGTGGCTCTTGGATCTCTTTTTCTCAATTCTGCAGCATAGTAAAAAAGCTTGTTGTATTCCAATGAATGATCCCCTTCGAAAGTCTTTCTCAGCCTCCTTTTAATAATCCTACACTGGACTTGAGTCAACTCCACGTTCAACTCATCCCATATTTCAGTAAAATATCACCACTTTTCAAATAAACAGTAGTAAAACCCTTAGTCTTCAATAAATGGTTCATTGCAAATGTTGAATTACATCTCCGATTGGTCGATCCCCATTCACATGTGTGTTCACTGTTAAATGTCTTGACCATCCATGTCTCAGTTGGCTTATCCCACGCTAACAAAATCTTCCAGTCACAGTGCCTTTCATTACAAATAGCCCTGTGTCTCTTCTTATCATTCTTGACCCACTTGATTTGCCTCCTTTGCATAATGCTCAATTAATCCACAGCTTTTTTAAACTCAGCTTTGTTTAGAAAAACCATGCCTAACTCAATCTGTACATTGCCATCATCTGTTCCTCGGAAAACTTTGTGCCTACTCTTCCTTCTCCTAGCGTGTTCAACTTCACTTCCATCCTCTTCACTTGTTGAAATGTAGCTGATATCATCATCTGAGCTTAATGAATCCTCAAGACCAAGATCATTGTGACCAGTTGAAGATGAGGGAATTTCATGACTAGTTCCTGCAGGCAAAGCATATATGTTACTATGTAGTCCATTAACTCATTAACAAACTAAAAAAAGTAAAAGTTGATGAAATACCTGCTGATGGTTGACTACGACCATACTTAACACCTTTCCTAGCATTTTTTGATCTCGAAGTTGCCTCATGCAAAGACTTCATTTTCTTTCTCGCCTCGACAGTTTCCTCATCTTCATTATCACTCAATTCAGATATATATGGAAGAAAATCATCTTCATCCTCAGAATGTTCATTGTCTTCATTACCATCATTACCAGCATCCTCAACTCTGCCTTCAACCTCAACCGCATGACCAGCATCCTCAACTCTGCCTTCAACCTCAACCGCATGACCAGCATCCTCAACTCTGCCTTCAACCTCAACCGCACGACTAGCATCCTCAACTCTACCTTCCACATTAACCGCATGACTAGCATCCTCAACTTTACCTTCCACATCAACATGATCATTTTCTACTCTCCCCTCAACCTCAACAGGATTGTCGGCAATCGTACCCTTATCACTTGGGGCTGGTAATGGTAAGATAGGTATAATTTCAGCAAAATCCGGGACATGAGACACATAAATATGTATCTTTTTCTCCACCTTCAACACCCCCAAAACATCCCTAATGTCATGATCATTCCTAATAGGTTTCAAACCATCTATAACTGTTTTTCTTGGTTCTAAATACCATATTTGGTTGACCATATTAGCATCATATCCAGCAATACCAATCTTAGTATAAAGTTCAAACAGTGTCAACTTATCCCTATTAATAATCTAGTCATAACATTCACCATCAACATATGAAATTGAATTACTAGCTTCATGTATAAACCTCCCACCCAAATGAATGAAAATTGGTACAAATTTGGTTTCTGCCTCATTTCCTGAATCATGCTCACCCTAATAAATAAAGCAAACAAACAAAATAAATTACTCAATACGGATCTGGTCTGGACGTGAGTCAACACAGCAGACACTAGAAAACTAACAGCATTGAAAGCAAAAATTTTAAATTGTTAAGACAATTTTACTCAATAAAGAAATTATTATTAAACCCAAAAGTAAATGGGAAAGACATAAACGACACAAACTTCCTGTTTAAGTGGGGACCTAATTTCCTTTTCTCCTCGACTAGTCATGCAGTTCAACATGCATCAAAATTTTTGCATCACTTTTATCAGACAAGGGTCCATGTTAGTATAAAAAAGTACCCTCTGAATCAGTTAGACAACAATAGAAAAAAGGAGAAGGAAACCCATATCGATACCTCGTCTTCCAGAATCTCTTCGCTTGGTTCCAGGTTGACATCAACAATTTTGGGGTCATTGGGGTCCATCGATCCTACTTTCGAGTGACTTTTTAACAATCGCAACTTCGATTCTCTTGGCAAATCCTTGGAATCCCAACAAATCTAGGGTTTGAGTTCGAACTTTGAAGGAGAATTGGAGAATCGAACAAGGAAGATAGGATAAACTTTGAGAAAATCTTTGCAATCCCAAAGAGGAGAATCGAAAGTGCAGTGTTCTCTGTTCTGTAGAAGTTATTAGGTTTTTTTTTCTCCCGAAAGAGCAAGCCAAAAGACATCTCTGCAGTCCCAGGGTTTATCGCGTGTTTATTGGAGCTTAGGCAGGCAACGTGGGGCCCATTTCAGTGGATTGGCGCCTTTGGCTCGCGAGAACATTACATGGCAACACGTTTGGTCCATATCAGCACTTTCTAAAATTTTGCTCTTCACGTCATCAAAAAAATTATAAAAAATGCCACATGGCGGACTTAACGGCCCAAATTGACAGAAGGACTAACGGAGTGCATTTCGTATAGTTGAGGGATCAAAAAAGTGCAAGAAATTGTTAAGGGATCAAAAATGTGCATTTCTTAAAGTTGAGGGACCAAATTTAGCATTTAACCTAAATGGATATATAGAAAAGAGGCCTGGAGGTTGCCATTTCCATCCAGCATTTCTCTGTAACCCTAAATAAAGTCTTTCCAGATTCCATTTTCATGGCCAACAACAACCTACGAGTCATAACCTGCAAAGGTAATTCTTTATCACTATCATCTTTTTGTTCTAAATATATTTTTTTAGCACTGCTAAGGATGACACTAGATATCGTTGCTCGACTTGAACACTTGCGTGCCTTGTGTTCTCACCTTATTAACACAAATCAATTGAGAACTAGCAAATACCAGACACTTGCCTTCATCTTCAATAGTGAAACTGTTCCTTTTTTTTTTTTTTTTCTGCCCTTCTCTTCCGACAGTTCTCTCTCCTTACTGTTTTCCACTTTTCTTATAAAAGATTTAACTTTACCTTTTTAGTTTTCCTGGCCTTTT